TTGAGAACGACTCGAGTCGGGTAACTCGATTACAAACTACCCAAAAATACTACAAACATTGTGCAGGTCAAACCAACCAATTTTTTATCTCAAAACAAATTGAAAATAAATATAATTATTTGATTTATTCAATCCGATTAACGAAATTATCCTATTATATTAAAATTATATTTACGTTAATAGTGTTATTTATTATTTTAAAATTATTTTGTGGTTGAAAATTTTTTATATATGTCGGTTTTGATGTTTATTGTGCAATTTGATGGTTGTGATAAAGTGCAACATATTGTTTTCTAAAGTGCAACGTGTTGTTTTAAAAAGTGCAACGTGTTGATGTATATAGTGTACTTTTGTAATTTTGGTACGTTTAGCATGCTCGTGTTTTTTTGTATGATGTATATCTGTTTCTTAGTTTTATGTTGTGTGGTATTTTGGAGGGAGTCGTTGACTTTATTTGTGGAGCATGTTGATAAAGTGCAACGTGTTGTTCTATAAAATGCAATAGGATGTTTTATAAAGTACAACATGTTGATATATAAAATGCACTAATTTATATGAGGAATATAAAGTATGTGTTTCTTAAAACTAGATTTAGTAGATATAATTGTACATCAAATTAACCTAAATAAAAGAAATAATTTATTTATTATTAGAAATATATATTTACTATCGTAATATTTTTATATATTAAAATTTTCATGTTATACTTTTATCAAATTTTTCATATTATAAAAATATATTTAATGTTTGTGATTTTGTTATTTAATATGTTATATTATTGTTTGTTGAAAAACAATAATGTGCACTCATAACCATTCGACCAGTCAATCGAATTAATATAAACCTTTTTAATGAATTATTATGTATATTATGAAAACATATTTGATATTAATATTTTTTATTTAATAATTTATACTAAATAATTTATTTTTTTGGATGTTATTATTATTGTAGTTTGTAGTGATGATATTTATAATGTGCATATACACGTACTTATTTTTAATTGAAACTAGTGTTCATTTATTATATTTTTAATAAATTACAAATTTGACTCAATAATTAAATTTATAAAAATTGCAAACAAGCCCCTATAGTATATCAAATTTTCAAAAGACAAACCCCCAATTCCAATCAATCTCTGTTAATGTCCCTGTCATATCAGCCACTGTAATTGCATCCGGCGAATCTTCTGGCCGTTCTCTGTCCCGCCAAGACCTCGCCGGCGACCGAGTTCATTAATTTTTGGTTTCGATAATTGATTGGACATTGCAACCTGATTTGGGCCAATCCAGTTAATAATGGTTCGTCTTCTACAAGCTCGTCTGCTCCGAAGGTGGACGACGGAGGAAAGGCGACCGCGACAGGAAGGAATGACGACCACCATGGTGAAGATGGTCGGCCGCCAACCGGAGGTGTCTTCATGCTCAACACTTGCAGACAGTTGGGATATGCGACGGAGGAAGGTGCAAAGACGTTACAGTCAGTGGCTGAGTAAGGGAGGACGATGGCGATGAGAGCTCCGGCGCCGGACGATACGGCGGCGTATAAGGTGGCCTGTCGGAGCTGCTTAGAGTAATGGGCTGCAGGAGGAAGGTATGACGGAGATGGACCGGTGGTGACTTCGGCAGTTTCTTGGTTACGGGTGGCGGGTCTAGCAGCGGCCGTGGACGGCGGTGACGGTGAGCCGGCGATGATATGCCATCCGTAGTGTGCTCTATGTGTATAAATGTGATGTGTGCGTTTGGGGAGTCGTGAGTGGGCCCACTGTTATAATTACGTATAATAATTATATATAATAATTAGATTCGTAGATGATGATGTATAAAATGTCTGTAATACCCTTAAATAGTGCCAAGTTTTGAATTTTTATTAGCCATTAGATCATCCAATCTAATGGTTATGATGTATTCTTATTTCTTTCACTTAGCACCATTCTCACTTGAACCCAACCATATAATATATATATATATATATATCCCTATCCCTTTCTATATTAATGTAGATTTTTCTGAGTCTAAATGGCAGACTCGCATGCTTTGGAATCTTATTTGGCAAATTTACATGGTTTGTTATTAGGCTTGGATAAATTTTAATTTACTTTCAATGAAAAAATAATTAGTCGCGTGTCCAAGTGCCCAGTCACCATGGGCCGTGCCAAGCAGCACCCGAAGATCATCACCCCCGCGCAGGCCAATGCCAGTCGCGCGAGGCTGCGCCCAGCTTGCGCTTGCGACCGCGCCAGGGCACTAATAGGCCTTGCGCGGGGTCCAGCTTAGCTAGCCCAGGTAAGCAGTGGACCGCCCGACCACAACAAGCTGGCGGTCTGGCTAATCAGTAAACCGGCCGGTCTAGACTAGTTATCCGAGTATTTTAGTACTTATTGTTCCGGTTTGAGTTTGTTTCGGAATTTCAGTTAATTTCTGAGACGAGTCAGTCTAGTATAGCAGTGTCAGTTGAAGTCCGGATTTAATATTAGTAAAGTGGAACACTTAGACTGTTCTAGCTAATCCGGGTAAGTTATCAATTAGAGTCGAGCATCTTAGCATTTTATTTGAGTATGTCTGAGCATAGTACTTAGTATTTGTTTATTTATATATTTTCACAGCTTGAGCAATCAGCGGACCAATCAGCACTCACATTTTCAAAACGAGTAGTACAGGTGGGGATCCAGACTGGGTACTTTTAGAAAAGATTTTGCAAAAAATTGACTCTAATACCAGTAACAAAGCGGGGTGTTACTGTCATTTTCCTTTTATTTTCTATTATTTTTGTTTTTCGGGTTTCGCTAATGTCGCGTTTCTATTGGAACATTTTCTTTTAAGTTTTTCATCGAAGACGACGTCGTATTGTGCTGTGCATGTGTATGACGTGTGTTCCGTACGTACACTGCATATATTAGTGGTTCTTCTGCACTTTGTATTTTTTTATTTTCCTTGATTAATGAAAATTAGGTTTATCCTCCCAAATATGAGTGATTAAGATTTCTACATGGTATCAGTTGAGAATTCCTGGGAACCTTGATTTTTTTTCCCAACATAGATCGATTACTTTCCTGATTCAGAGCTAGATCCAGCTGCTTACTGACGATGGCGCAACACCGAAATCCATGGTTGTTGCTCGCGATAAATGCTGAAGGTACCTCGAACAATGGTGATCCAGATCCACTTCTCTTGCACGACTCAGATCACCCTGGTATGATATTAGTTTTGCATCCACTCACTGGAGGTAATTTCCTTTCCTGGAAGAGATCTATGATTATTGCTTTGGGAGCTAAGACCGAATTAGGTTTTATTAGTGGTGAGATCAGTAAACCTGAGGAAAATGATACTAGTTATGCTGCTTGGAGAAAGGTTGATTGGATGGTGCTATCCTGGATTTTAAATTCACTTTAAAAAGATATTGCAGAGTCTTTCATATATGCTAATAACTCGAAGGATCTGTGGGATGACATATGTCAACGATTTGGTGAAAATAACTGGCCGATGAAGTATAAGTTGCAGAGAGAGATCTCCACTCTTACTCAAGGCAGTAGCACAATCATGGAGTACTTCAATAAACTAAAGAAACTGTGGGATGATACTCATGTGTGGTGCCTTTTCAAAGTTGTGATTGTGAAAAAGGAAAAATAGTGGGCCAACATGAATCTAAAAGCAAGTTGATCCAATTTTTGATGGATCTGAATGACAGCTATGACCACTTGAAGAATCGGATAATGCTGCAGGATCCTTTACCTACAGTGAACAAAGCCTATTCTATGTTGTTGACTGCGGAGAGGCAAAGGTCAGTGCCCAATGTTTTTGGGAAAGATTAGATAATGTAGCTATGGTGGCACATGGAGCAAATGCAGGGAGAGGTAATGGTGGATTTGGCAGAGGCAGCTTCGCTGGGAGAGGTTCAAACACACAGTGGTCCAATGGAAAGGGTAGAGGTGGCCCTAGGCTAAGCAAGGAAGAGAAGGCCAAGCTCATTCGTGACAAGTGTGGAATGAGGGGTCACACTATTATGAGTTGCTTCAAGATACATGGTGTACCTGAGTGGTATAAATCCTTTAAGGAACAACAGGGACAAAGCTATGCTAATATCTCATATGTACAAGGTAGTTCAAATGTGCATAGTCAATGTTAACTAAGCAGTGATGGTTCTAAATCAGGTGACCTATCAACTATTATTCAACAGCTCAATGAATTAACCCAATACATCAAAAGAAAGGAGGCAGCTGTTGGCAGTCTTAACTATGCTCAATTTGTCAGCTTCAAGGGTGAAGATGAAGATGATGACATGCACTATGCACTGACAACTGCTGCAAGTGCTCCTGTCTATGAGTGGATTGTCGACACAGGGGCCAGCCGTCATATCTGTAATAATGTCAACCTCATGAGCAATTTGGAAAGGCTTAAGGTACATGTTTCGATATGCTTACCTGATGGTTCCTTGAAATCAGTTCATAGCAAAGGGATGGTGGATCTGAATGATGATATGAACTTAGAAGATGTCCTCTATATGCCTGAATTCAAATAACCTCCTCTCGGTTACTCAGTTATGTGTGAAGGGTAACTTCAGGTGTTTTTACAAGCTCACGCTGTTACTTGGAAGATAAATAAAACAACAGAACCATTGAGTTTGGCCAGTTAAATGGAAATCTATATGTACTGAGGAGTGCCTCTAATGCGAAGGGTACAAGCAACATGTCAGCTTTTGCCATGACCTTTGAAGGGTGGCACAGAAAGTTAGGACATGCTTCATACTCCACTTTGAAGCATATGCCTTTATTCCAAAAGGACTGCACCAAAGAGAATGAAGGTTTAATCCATGCCTGTGATGTATGTCTAAGGACTAAACAACACTTACAACCTTTCCATGCTAGTGGTCCTCAAGCTGCTAAGTGCTTTGAGCTAGTACACATGGACATCTGGGGTCCCAGTAAAGAAGAGAGTTTCACTAACACACCTTTCTTCTTAACATTGGTAGATGACTTTAGCAGAGGGACATGGGTGTATCTTATGGATCATATGTCCCAAGCTGGCAAGCTTATTAGACTTACCATGGTTGAGAGACGGTTTGACTGTCAAGTGAAGAGGTTGAGATCAGACAATGGCAAGGAATTCTTAGAAAATGAGTTGCAGGATTTCTTTGGGCAGAAAGGGATTGTTCACGATACCTCATGTGTGTATACACCTCAGAAGAATGGCACTGTGTAAAGGAAGCATAGACATTTGCTAGAAGTTGCTAAAAGCTTATTGTTTCAGTCTGGAGTGCCTCTTAAATTTTGGTCATTTGCAGTACTAGCAGATGTCTATGTGATTAATAGGACTCCTAGCTCATTACTGAATTGGGAGTCACTTTTTGAGAAGTTATACAACAAGAAACCAGGCTATACAATGCTCAAGATCTTTGGCTATTTGGCTTATGCAGCTGACACAAGGCCATCCAAATCTAAGCTAGACCCTAGGGGCATCAGATCTATGTTTGTTGGTTATGAGATTGGCAAAAAGGGGTATAAATTGTTTGATACCCAAGAGTACAGGGTCTTTACAGCCAGAGATCTGATATTATTTGAAACAACCTTTCCATATCACAATCAAGTCCTGGACCTTCATGATAAGAACACTTTGCCACTTGCTGTTCCAGAAGATCTTCATGAAGACACCATACCCTTGCCTACTACTGCCCAATCTCTCCCACCAGTGGATGATAGCTAACCTGCTGTGAGGAAAAGCCTTCAAACCAGAAAACCCCCCAGATGGCAGCAAGACTATGTATGCTCCCCAGGTGCACAGAATGACGCACTCATGGGCACAGATTCTGACGTTTTCATGGAAAATATTTCATTGATCAAAGAGCCTACTCAATACCTTGAGGCTAGTAAACTTCCAGCCTATGTGCAAGCTATGAATAGTGCAATTGCTGCATTGGAAGCAAACAACACATGGGACATCACCACATTACCTAAGGGCAAGAAGGCTATAGTCTCTAAATGGGTGTATAAGGTTAAGAGGAAAGCTGATGGTAGTGGGGATAGATATAAGGCTCGGTTGGTAGCCAAAGGGTACAACCAGGTAGCAAGAGTTGACTACTTCGATGTATACTCACCTGTGGCCAAGTTGGTCACAGTGAGGATGTTTTTTGATGTGCGTATTATGCATGGTTGGTGTCTTCATCAATTGGACATTAATAATGCCTTCTTGCATGGCTATCTTTCTGAAAAGGTATTTATGAAACCACCACAAGGTTACACTAAGGCCAAGAGAGGTGAGGTGTGCCAATTGAGCATGAGCTTATATGGTCTCAAGCAGGCATCAACAGAGTGGAATAGTGAGATTTGCAATAAATTGTCCAACTTTGGTCTCAGTCAGTCTTCCCATGATAATTGTCTATTTACCATCACAAGAGGGGGTCATTTTATGGTAGTTCTGATTTATGTAGCCTCTCATGCCTACCCCTCTTTCAACAAACTTGCTTGCCATCCCAGCACGTCTATCCTTAGTTTTTGTGTGACACTTCAATTCCACCGCTCCAATAGGGGTGCTGCTTGTGGACCTAAGAGGGAGCCCTGTAAGGGATATGCCCCGAGAGCTGATGACATCTTGCTCACTGGCTCTAGTGCAAGCTTGATCACAAATTTTAAGAGCTACTTATATGAGGCCTTTACCATCAAAGACTTGTGGCTTTCCTGTTTTTGCCTTGGCCTAGAGATTCTCAGAACTCCAGAGGGAGTGTTGTAAGTATTTTTACCAGAGTAGAATCGAAAGATTCGTTCCCAGGGTCGTATCGCAAAGAAGGTTAGCCGGATTCAATTGTACGATTATTCGATCACGAAAAAGAAAAAATCCTAAACACTCTATTTCAATGGTTTTGGTTTCAATTTTAGCTAATGACTTTAAATAAATGAAAAGAAATTTAAATAGCACGTGAATTAACTCGAGTGATTAGAGAGCTAGGGAATCGGGGATAATTGCTTTCGGCTCTAACACAACTACCGGGAAATCAATTGCCCAGTTAAAGGATTTGAATCGTCTCTCGTTCAGAGGTTCACTCTCAATACAGTTACAAACAAGAGAATGAATGTAAACGATTAACTATCAGTTCCAGCAACGTATAGACAATACAGTTACGAACAAGTCTACTCTAGACGAGCCTATATCGACCAGGGTCTCCCCTCTTGGTTCTACACGTTGATTTATTAGGTTAGAAAGGTGATCAATCTACTAACCCTAGGACAAGCACATCTCGCATAGATATGAGCAATTAAGAACAAGCAATTATTATTGAACCTAATCAATCATCCCCTATCCCTAGCGTATGGATTTAGCTACTCATATGAAATTTAACATCAACATTCATATTAGCCCAAGCCATCATCATCAACACACAATTGATAAAAGAAGAACTTACGATTAATGTAAATAGTTCAATGTCAAATACACAAGCATCCAAATCCAAAGCCAGAACAGAGTTTCAATCTCCAAAATCAAATCGAAAGAGCTAAAGTATGAAAAGGAATGAGTTTCTAGGGAGTGAAAACATAAAAACGAAGTCTGGGAGGTGAATTATGATGTCTAGGTCGAAATTCTGATGTTAAAAACCGTGCATCGAAATTCGCGCCCATCAAATCGCGAGTCGCGACTTTCACTTTTACCGAGTCGCGAGTCGCGACATCTCGCGAGTTGCGCGTCTTCGAAAATATTTAAAATCTGGGTAAATCGCGACAAGTCTCGCGAGTCGCGACATCATCTCGCGAGTCGCGACATAGACTCGCGAGTCGCGACTTATCTCGCGAGAATCTTCATTTCGGCTCTATTGAACTCGCGAGTCGTAAACTTCTCACGAGTGGCGACCATCTCGCGAGTCGCGACTCTGACTCGCGAGTCGCGAGAAATGCTAGGCAGCTCTTCAGTCCGTTTTTTCGGTCCTTTCTTCGGGTGTTCTGGGCACGACAGTGGGTATTCTTGACTTCCCGGTCTCAGCTCTAGCAGTCTCTTCCTCAACCGACACAACCTGCCTCCTGAAAACACAAACACAGAGAAAACACGAAGCAAAAACACAGCAAAAAGACGCTCAAAACGAAACTAAAGAGAAAAACGCAAAAACACAGAATTGGACCAAATAAACCACGAAAATCCTATAAATAGGGAAAATAAAAGGAAAATAAACCCAAAATAAAGACACAAAAATGGGACAAACAACTCCCCCACACAAAAACCTTTGTTCATCCCGAACAAAAAGAAGAGAAAAGAAAGGAAAAGAAATAAATGAGCAAAGACAACGGTGCAGGCAAGACTAATCGCAAACACATCAATCGAACTGAGAAGAATTCCAATGATCACAAGAATACACCTCAACCCAGCTATTTCGAAGAACAAAGACTCTCGAGAACAAGTATGTATATATATATGCCTCACTCAGTTTCTTCGTAAAAATATAAGAGAGGTGCACTCAAATTGGTCATCAGTCAAGTCAATCATAGATTTTCCTAATCACTCAGTTTCTCGTGAGTCGCGACTCTGACTCGCGAGTCGCGAGAAATGCAGGGCAGCTCTTCAGTCCATTTTTTCGGTCCTTTCTTCAGTGTTCTGGGCACGACAGTGGATATTCTTGACTTCACGGTCTCAGCTCTAGCAGTCTCGTCCTCAACCGACACAACCTACCTCCTGAAAACACAAACACGGAGAAAACACGAAGCAAAAAACAGCAAAAAGACACACAAAATAAAACTAAAGAGAAGAATGCAAAAACACAAAATTGGACCAAATAAACCACGAAAATCCTATAAATGGGAAAAATAAAAGGAAAATAAACCCAAAATAAAGACACAAAAATGGGACAAACAACTCAAATTTGTTGTAGCAAATTATTTTTATTTTTACCGAGTACCGGATCAAAAGATTCGTTCCCCGGGTCGATCTCTAGAGGAAGACGGTTCGGAATCTAGCGTTGGTATTAATCACACACGAAAAGAAAATAAGACCTAAACATTCTAATCACGATTAATTTGGTGAATTAACTAAAACAAGCTAGAACTAGAAAATCAATTTAAAGAAATAACAATTAAATCTCTAGAGAAAAGGAAGAAGTTCTAGGGGTCGGGAAATCTCATCAAGTTTCAAACTATGTTGAACGATTATTTGTTCGGTTACGAGATTTAACAAGCCTACACGTCTAGAGGGCTATGCTCAATAACTCTTCATAACAAGAGCACATACATAAACGATAAACTCATCAAACAAGCAACACATAGACAATACGTTTCCGAACAAGTCTACTCTATACGAGCCTAAATCGACCGACATCTCCCCTCTCGGTTCTAAACGTCGATTAACTAGGTTAGAATGGTGATCAATCAACTAACCCTATAATTCACACAACTCGCATAGATTGAACAAAACACATTCCACATAATTCAAACAAGAATCAAAATCCCTAACCCTAGGTGAATAGATTACCTCATGCTTAGATTCAATCTCATGTTAACTGGAATTAAGAACATAAAACCAATCAACAATTATAAAATAGAATTGAAAAACTTACAATCGGCTTAAGACTTGAAAGATTTCAATCCAAATGTCTTTGTGTCCAACAATCCAAGCATGAGAAAATAAAAAGTAAAGTGTAGAAAATTGTCCTAACAATATTGAGTTTTTGGAGAGAAAACTTCAAAGGACCGATTTTGGGGGTTGTTCCTTAGGTCTGGAGGTTCGTTTTTATATATAGTGCGCGAAAAATGGAGCTAAAACGAGTAAAAATAAAAACAGGGGTCGACAGGGTCGCGACTCGCGAGTTGGACGGGTCGCTGGGCTGCTGAGGCTCTGTTGTAGTCGCGACTCACGACTTTGTGCTCGCGACTCGTGAGATTCTGGGCTGCACTGCGCCATTTTGCGTTTTCGCCTCGTTTGAGCTCGTCCGAACTCGGAATTGAGTTCCGTTTTTTCCTATGCGTCGCTAACGAACCCCACTATCCAGTTATGCTCTCGAAACCAACTTTTCCTGAAGAGAAAATTCGCCCGAATCTTTCGACCTACACACCAAAAACGACAAAACACAAAAGAAAACCGGAAAAACAAACAAAAAACACCTAATGACTCAACATGAAGGAAAACAAATAATAAAACACGAAACAGACTAAAAACTTAAGAAACGACCTAAAATGAGGGAAAAATGAAGATAAAATAAACACGAAAAATGCAACAAAAATGGGACAAACAACTCCCCTACACTTAAACCTTTATTCGTCCCGAACAAAAAGAATAGAAAAGAGAAGAAAGGACACAAAACTAAAAACCTGATCATGGACAACAGTCATTAACAAGATAAGCTTCAAAATGTTCAACTTCAACAACAATCATTCAAATGGCATATACGAGCACCACACAACTACATGCTTGATCTCTATACTTCGACATGGCGTTCTCTCAGTATGGGAATATATATGTGTGCCTCACTCGAATTCTTATACAAATAAAGATAGGTGCACTCAAATTGGTTGATAAAAAGTTCAATCATATGCTTGCCCATTGTCTAACTTCTACTCTAAACCAATCAAAATCGAAACTAGTGCATCAAAAGGTCTTTTCGGGTTGTAACGTAGGCTCTTTGGATAGGTAGGATAAATATAGGCTAAGTGGCTCGAATTCAATATACAACTCAAACACCTTACCCCAGAAACATACACGCAGCCGGTTGTTCAAACATACCGGATCTTCCCCCACACTTCTCCTAAAAACACACGTTTCACCCATCTTATTTCTTATTTTTTTTCTTTTTTTTTTTGTGTAAACCTTATT